CAAATCGAAAGATATATAGGGATTTTGGTGCACCATTTACATGAAATCGGACGAAACTATATATGGGAGCTATATCTAAATCTGGACCGATTTTCACGAAATTTGGCAGACATCACTCTAGCACCAATTCAGTACGTTCTACCGAATTTCGGGCACATCGAAAGATATATAGGGACTTTGGTACACCATTTACATTAAATCGGACGAAAATATATATGGGAGCTATATCTATATCTGAACCGATTTTTCCCAATTTCAATAGGGTTCGTCCTTGGGCCAAACAAAAGATCTGTGCCAAATTTCATCCAATTCGGATCATAAATGCGACCTGTACATTGCTCACAAAAATAAATGGACAGACAGACGGACGGACATGCTTAAATCGACTTAAAAAGTGATTCTAAGCATATTCTCAAAATGAACCATGGGTAAGTCTCGTTTCCTTTTGCCTGTTACAAACATATGCACAAAGACATAATACCCTGTACAACAGTGTGGTGAAGGGTATAAATATTTGAACCAATAGAAAAATATTTGAACCAATGAAAAATTGCAATCGGGCAGACTAGGGTTCTTTGGTGTACCATTTGTACGAAATCTAGACCTAATTGAGCAACCGTGGCACACAGCGTTTGGTATGTTTGGCTCTCAAAAATTGTATCCCGCTAGGATAAACCTTTATTATTTGGGGCACAAATTGTATGAACTTTGACGAAATACCAGTATGGAAAGTAGTAAAGTCGGACTGGGCCGTCTATTTGATACCCTTCACCACTTTGGGTATATTGTACACATGTATCCTTACAATTTTATGTCAATGTTCCCTCCTTCTGCAACCCATGCTAAATTTATTTTCATTCGGGCTGATTTAGAGTCGTTTGCGTACCATGGGACAAATTTATGGAAAACGATTTATAAAGTTCGTCCTTGGGCCAAATAAGTGACCTCTGCCAACTTTCATCTAATTCGGTTCATAAATGCGACTTGTACTTTGTTTACAACTTAACATAGATAGACGGACGGACGGATTTGCATAAATCGACTCAGAAAGTGATTCTATGTATATTCTCAAAAGGAACCATGGGTCTATCTCGATTATTTTTGCCTGTTACATACATATGCACAAAGACATAATACCCTATACCACAGTGTGGTGAAGGGTATAAATATAGGGATTATGTCTACATCTGAATACGTTTTACAAAATCCAATCCAATTCGCTCCAAGTTGGTACTTTGTGCACAAATTCGTCCCAATCGGAAAAACGTTAGTTATTTGGTACACCATTTAGATGGTACAAAACCGGATGGAAATATATATGGGGAAGTTGTATCAAAACCTGAACAGATTTCATGAAATTTCGATTTCAACATAGGCTTCTGTGTTGACCATTTGCATGAAATTGGAAGAAAATGTGTATGGGAGCTATATCTAAATCTTAACCGATTTCTAAAAAACTTTACCAACATCAAACTGAACTTAATTCAACACACTGTGCAAAATTTTATCTCAATCGGAAAAATATTGGGAATTTGGTGCACCATTTACATAAAATCGGACGAAACTATATATGGGAACTATATCCAAATTTTAAACGATTTTAACAAAGCTTCACGGACATTAAACAAGACTTAATTCAGTATGATGTGTAAAATTTTGTCACAATCGAACAAATATTCAAACTTTGGTTATGGTTCGTACTTGGGCCAAATAAGTGACTTGTGTCAAATTTCATCCATACCCTCCGAATGAGAAATGTGTTTCATAGCTGAAAAATTTGTTCGAAATATTCCCGTTCACAGTCTGTTGTTCAAGCACCCATTCCACCCATCTACAACGTTGTGAATGGTCTGCTGGTACAGTTTTTGTGTGAGCAGGCCTTTATATGGACTTTGAATGTCTTATGGCATACTGTCAACCTTGCCAGAGTTCATCTATGTTCGTTGGCCCTATTTTATAACTATCGATCTCCTATTTAAAAGCGCTCACAAAATTTTCGATAAGATTAGAATTCTACCAATTCAATGCTTATATCTGTATATTGTTGCAATTGGAACTCCACCTCGGGTTATCTACTTTTCTCCACATTTTCTAGCAATTTGGTTTAAGACATATTGAGATAATCAACCTTCTTCACTTCACCTTCTATCTTAATCCGCATTATATCCTTCAATCATAACGTCGGGCCGTCGAAACAGTCCAAACACTAACGTATTTATTAATCACCTCATTAAACTTTCAATATGTCGAGCATATTACATAATAATTTCGAGCGACTAGATGTAATACGCTTGACTACGATTTCGATGATATAAAACTTTCTTGAAAATCGTTTCAGATTTTGATATAGCTCCCATATATATTTTCGTCCGATTTAATGAAAATAGTACACCGAAGTCCCCATAGTTCTTTCGATTTGCACGAAATTTGCCATAGCGTATTGAATTGAGTCTAGAATGATGTGTGCTAAGTTTCGTAAAAATCGGTTCAGATGTCCGATTGACACGAAATTTTGCACAACGTATCAAATTGAGTTTTTTTCTCTTTATTGTGTTTTTTTTTCATTGTAGACATAGCTTCCATATATTTTGAACGGGTTTCAGATTGGGTGTAATAAAGACATAATGTAACTGATCGGCATAAATCTACAGAACCTATTAAGGCATATCAATGTCATCACATTCCTTTATTCGATTTAAAATTTCAAATAATTACTATTGCCGTAATTGCGACTTCAAATTCCTCTTTTTATACCCTTCACCACACTGTGATACAGGGTATTATGTCTTTGTGCATATGTTTGTAACAGGCAAAAATAATCGAGATAGACCCATGGTTCCTTTTGAGAATATGCATAGAATCACTTTCTGAGTCGATTTATGTATGTCCGTCCGTCTGTCCATATTAAATTGTAAACAAAGTACAGGTCGCATTTACTATTGAAATTGGGAAAAATCGGTCTAGATTTAGATATAGCTCCCATATATATTTTCGTCCGATTTAACGTAAATGGTGTACCAAAGTCCATATATGTATTTCGATTTGCACGAAATTTAGTATAGCCTACTGAATTAGGTCTAGAATGATGTGTGCTAAGTTTCGTGAAAATCGGTTCGGATTTAGATATAGCTCCCATATATAGTTTCGCCCGGTTTGTGGTAAATGGTGCACAAAAATCCCTGAAAATCATTTGATTTACACGATTCTTGGCATAGCGTATTGAATTAAGTGTAGAATGACGTGAGCTAAGTTTCGTAAAAATCGGTTCAGATTTAGATATAGCGCCCATATATAGTTTCGCCCGATTTAAGGTAAATGGTGTACCAAAGTCCTTATATATCTTTCGATTTGCACGAAATTTGGTATGCCCTACTGAATTTGGTCTAGAATGCTGTGTGCTAAGTTTCGTGAAAATCGGTTCAGATTTAGATATAGCTCCCATACATAGCTATGTTTCGTGAAAGTAGGTTCAGATTTAAATATAGCTCCCATATATAGTTTCCCTTGATTTTAGGCAAATGGTCTACCAATGTTACCATATATCTTTCGATTTGCACGAAATTTGGTATAGCATATTGAATTAGGTCTAGAATGATGTGTGCTTAGTTTCGATAAAATCGGTCTAGATTTACAAATAGCTCCCATACATAGTACCGTCCGATTTTAGGTTAATGGTGCACCAAAGTCTCTGAAAATCATTCGATTTGCACGCATTTTGGCATATCGTATTGAATTAAGTCTAGAATGATGTGTACACCTCCTATATATATTTTCGTCCGATTTTAAGTAAATTGTGCACTAAAAATCCTCAGATAGGAAATTAATATAAAAATTATCTCTGGCAAGTTTGCTTCAAATCGGTTCATATCTAGATATCTTGTAGCTTCCATATATAATTTCGACTTACTTATTGACATTTAATTTTAAACTGTGCAGCATACCGAATAGCGTGTGTCAAGTTTGCTTTAAATCGATATACACAAATTTGTCCCACTGTGCGTAAAGGAATCTAAATTTGCCCAAATGAAATGAAATTTAGCATAGGTTCCAGAAAGACATAAAAATCACATATTTAAGTTCGTTCAATTTCATGCCAAAATTACTTAAAAAAGGCGACGTCTTTTCGGATACATATATTCCCAAAGTGGTGAAGGGTATCATATAGTCGGCCCAGTCCGAATTTACTACTTTCCTTACTGGTTCATCTTCCATTAGAATTAGAATCTCAGACATTATTTTAGCCCCAATTTCGGTATTTTGAATGCCCGAAGAGTTAAAAACCGAAGGGACTGCAAGTTTACATTACGAGTTCATGTATCATGGAACACGGTGTTGTAGGAAACATTAGGTGTACATAGGGTGCATGGCAGAGTTTTCTTATAATGAACCTAGTATTTTCCAAGTTATGTGTTTTTAATTAGGTGTTTCATTTATTAGATGATTAAAAACCTTCAAAAAGACAATTTACATTATATGTCATTGTTTTGATACATGCCTATATAAGTTAAGGACCCCACCGTTTTTAGATGTTATCAAAGAAAAACAATTAATTTTAAATAAAGTATCCTCATTCCTGTCCAAGGTCATATTTTTATCCGATTGATATGAAACGTGGCACATCTCACTTATTTGGCTCAAGAACGAACCCTATTGAAATTGGGGAGAATACAGATTTAGATGTAATTCCCATATATATTTACATCTGATATACCATTACGTCACATTCTTGCCATCCACTTAGATCATTTCACATCCCTAGCAAAAATATTATATGCAATAATTTTATAACATTCTTTTAAGTCCACAGTTTTATAAAATATATTTATTGGTTAGTAATACTATACTAATATTAGAGACACATAAAATATTATATATAGATATTTTTTTTGTTTCGTTTTTTTAATGCTGTAATAAAAATAAAAAAATTAAAATATAAAAATAATGGTTCAGCAACAATTCCTTTCATGCGGATTGTTGCTTCGATTGGTGATGGTCGGTCCTTCTATCCATCCCTCAATTATACCAAAAAGTAATGCTTGAAATGATACAAAGAATGGAAAGTGGTTGTCATTAAAAAAATGTATCACCTTTGATGTCGGCGTGTGTAATAATTACCACCGGATCTGCTTTCTTCCAGCATTGATGGAACCACCAGGCTTTGTGGCACAGTGTATCACCCTCCGGATGTACACAATTTTGCGAAGCGTTTACGAGTAAGTCACGCAAGGAGCCAGGAATGGCGGCGAACAATTTCTCCAAATGAACATCGCCATTATCATCGACTACATCGAATTCGTGGAAAAGGCAATTCATATAACACTTGAGAGCCTCATCTTCATGGATCTCGCCATCACTGAATTCCTTGATGGCCGCTAAATTTCAAAAATACAAAAAACGCACACATGAAAAATGAAATACGAAACAACAGCAACAACAATAACGAAACAAACGATTTAGGTGGCTGCACATCAAAAGTTTCGAACAAACAAAGCAACATAAAATTGTTTTGGACCCATGGGCTTAGATGTGAGCTCATATGGTGTATGAATATGTTTGTTTGTTTGTTGGTTTGATTGTTCGTTAGTTGGTTCGTTCGTTCATTCGTTCATTGGTTCGTACGTACCATCAGTTACGCCAGTTTTTTCCACACATATGTCATGAAATGGTTTTGCCATTTTCAAAATTGCCGGTGGGGGATACTAAACAAAAGAAATGTGGAACATTCAATTTTTTCATTCGTTTTTTATGTGTTATTCCGCCGTTATCATCATCACCATTCAAACAAAACAGAACCAAAAAATATAAAAAAGCAATACAAAATAAAAACAAAATTCCCCAAACCTAATACCAGAAAACAAAAACAACGACAACAATGACAGCGGAGGCAAACACCAACACACATATAAAAGATGTAACAATTGATTTGCAATACCTCTGCATCACGCCTGGGCTGTTGAGCTTGGCAACGACAGGACGATAGGACAATTAAAATGGTGTACAACAATTGTGTACGGTGGCCGCTACGCCAAATGCCATTGAAAGACATTTCGATTTGGAAATGCGACACTGTGTGTTAGAACGATGAGTTGTTCTGACTTTCTGTTGTAGTCCGGAGCTCCCTTTGTATTTGCTTTTCCTCTTGCGATATGGGGTGCTGCTATTTATGTCCCGCAAAAATTCCTTTAAAATAAAAAAATAAACAAGAAAAGATTTTGATAAGGCGCCAGTGTCACTAGATGTTATGTAAATTTAAATATTTTGTTAATGTCTTTTTGTCTAATAAACAGTAAATTGAGATATTATCACTTCACCAACGTGGGAATCAGCAAAATAAATTTATTTATATGTTGTCACAATATGATAAGATTAATTTTAATTTTTTTTTTTGTATGATAAGGGTGTTGAAAATCACATTTTTACCAATATGAGATTTGGTATTTTGGTATGCAAGAAATGTTATTTTAAGCATGCGTGGTCCCAAGAGTTGTTAATGACATATTGGACATAGACCCACTTTTTTCTTTACAGCTACTTCGCACTATGGGATAGAAATCCAATTTTTACCATAATTAGAGCAGTGAGTTTAAGAAATAAGTGAATATCACATATAATAGTTTGGGGACGCTAATTTCGATTCTGCAAGCAAAATGTAAAAAATCAATAGGGTGGATCGAAAATGGCGGACAATTTGTTTAAACATATAATACTAAATTAAGGCAAATTGGTTAAAAATTCGCACAAAATACACAAAACAATTTAGCTGGATACTGTTATATAGGGGCTACCCAAAATAGCGGACGAATATGTGATACACAATGCGAACCCAAAATACCAAATTACAGCCAATGCTATGTTATAAAAAAAAATATTTACATGCGATTTTTTACGACAATTTTTTATTTATCGGCATTAACCCTTATGTTTACGAACGGTTACAGACGTCGCAAAATATTGGACAAAAAACAGATCAAAGCGTCGATTGGTGCTATAACCATTAAAATATCATCTGACACTGATTGCATGTAGGTTCTGAAACTCAAATTTTTTGTAAAAAACATATTTATGAGTTTCATATACGAAATTTTTGATCATTATCTTCATATTACACATAATGTTAACTTTCATTATAATCACCAGTTCCATTTGTTTAATTGGCGTAATTGCATGCAAATATTTTGACACATATCAACGTTATATAACATATTCACAAAAATCTGAAATTTTTATATTGACCTCATGCCATTTGAAAACCGTGGCTCACAAGGAAAGTAGTAAAGTCGGACTGGGCCGACCACTTTGGGTATATTCTACATATATATCCTTACAATTGTATGTCAATGTTCCCTCGAATGTACGCTGTGCCAAATTTCGTGCAAATCGAAAAAAAAATCGGACTTTGGCGCATCTAAATCTGGACCGAATTTCACGAAACTTAGCATACATCATTCTAGGCTTAATTCAGTACACTGTACCAAATTTCGTGCAAATCGAAAGATATATAGAGTCTTTGGTGCACCATTTACATTAAATCGGACGAAAATTATATGGGAGCTATATCTAAATCTGAACCGATTTTTCCCAATTTCAATAGGGTGCGTCCATGTGCCAAATTTCATCCAATTCGATTCATAAATGCGACCTGTACATACGGACGGAAGGACATGCATAAATCGACTTAGAAAGCGATTCTATGCATATTCTCAAAAGGAACCATGTGTCTATCTCGTTTGCTTTTGCACAAAGACATAATTCCCTGTACCCCAGTGTGGTGAAGGGTATAAACATATATCAAAATAGAATGCGATCGTTGGTGTATGCAAGACTTATGTCTTGCAATTTTATCATCAGCATGCTATATTATTAAAAGTCAAATTTTATTAAATTTGTAGATGCAATTTTTTACGATTATTTTTATTTTATCGGCATGTTTACGAACGGTCACAGACGGTCGCAAAATGTTTGACAAAGAACATATCAAGGCGTCGATTGGTGCTATAACCCTTAAAATATTCTCTGGCACTGATTGCCAATAGCTTCTGAAACTCAAATTTTTTTGGGAAAAAATCATATTTATGAACTTTATATACGAAACTTTTGAACAATATCTTCAAATTATTAACAATTTTCAATTTCACTAAATTCACCAGTTCCATCTGTTTAAGTGACCGCCAATTCATGTTAATATTTTGACATATGTCAATGTTATATAAAATTTTTCAAATATAAATTATATTCAGCGGTGAATATTTTGTATGAAATCGGACGGAAGTATTCATGGGAGACATATCTAAATTTCAACCGGTTTCAACCAACCTTAACACAAAACATTCTAGACTAAATTCACAAATGTCGTCCCACGGGTCCCATGTTCGGGCTTGATCTAGGTTTGGTAAAGATAATATGTTGTGCCAAATTTGGTTCAAATGGGACATTCCATTCGACTGATATTGGATTTATAAATATTAAAAATGTTGACCATTCGTGTGGAGGTACCAGAAGGAGTGGATCAATTGGTCCCATCTTCAGACCTGATCTAGCCTTAATAAAGATAATAGATTGTGCAAAGAATGGTTCAAATCAGACATTTCATTCGCCCGATACTGGATTTATAAATATTGAACATTTTGACCCTTTGCGGGCGACGTACCAGAAAGAGTAGATCAATGGGTCTCACCTTCGTACTTCATCTAGGCTTGGTAAAGGTAATAGGTTGTACAAAGTTAGGTTCAAATCTGGCATTGAATTAGCCTGATATTGGATTTACAAATATTGAAAATTTTGATCCTCTGTGGGAGAGGTATCACAAGGAGTGGGCCAATGGGTGCCATCTTCAAACTTCATCTAGGTTTGGTAAAGGTAATAGGTTGTGCAAAGTTTGGTTCAAATCGGACATTCCATTAGCCTGATATTGAATTTGTAAATGTTAAAAATTTTGACCCTTTGTGGGGGAGGTACCAGAAGTAGTGGATTAATGGGTCCCATCTTCCTACTTGCTCTAGGCATGGTAAAGATAATAGGTTGTACAGAGTTTCGTTAAAATCGGATAGTCCGTTTGGATGTTATTATATAATTAGTTTTTAGCACAATTTTGACCATTTTGTGGGGGGGGGATTGGACCGATATTCCCCTTCTTCGAACATAAACTAAGTTTGGAGGAAATATTAAGATGTAAAAAGTTGGGATGAAATCGATTATTCCAAGTTTGGCTGAAATCGGTTCAGATTTAGATATAGCTCCCATATATAGATTCGTTCGATTTTAGGTAAATGGTGCACCAAACTCCCAATATTTGTCCGATTGAGATAAAGTTTTGCACAGAGTATTGAAGTAGGTCTAGATTGATATATACCAAGTTTGGTAGAATAATGTGTATTGGATTTAGTGTCGAGATAAATTTTGGATAGCGCATAGTGTTGCAACATACCAAACGGTGGATGCCAGGGTTACTCAAAGATGTCCATTTATATATATAGATCTTATACATATTTTGCTCGATGATTGAAAATAAATTTTTCATAGATTTCAGATTGTATCGGAATGGGTTGTTTTATTCAGGCAGTTAATTTAGTTAGATTCCATTTCAATGGTCCTCCAAAGATGATATGTCTATTCTATCTAAAGGATATTGTACATATGAGTATCTCTTGTATGTACCCAACGTGGTGAAGGGTATCATATAGTCGGCCCCGTCCGACTTTTGATCTTTCCTTACTGGTTTTAATATACAGATTTAAATAGCCGATATATTTTAAGTGGACTCTAAAACAATTGAATAGTGTGTATGGAAAAAAATTTCTTAACATACAGACATTTCAATTCACACATATAAAGATGGATTTCTGCCATGAGTTCTCTGTGAGTGTATAGCTATCGTATGAACTAGGATAAAGCCAATCGGAGAAGATCTTCCTTATTTTTTAATTTGGTTTTTGGTCAAAAATCTTCGATTTTCGACAAATATTTTTTCAAAGGTCCACCATTTTGTTAATTTTAGAGCGAAGTCAATAATCCTAGTTCATACGAGAGCCAGACATGTACTCTTTCTAACACCGTTGGAATTTTCGGATTCCGATGTTCCAGTGAGGAGTTATCATGCCCGTCATCAAAAATAAGGGCTTCTCTTTAATTACAAAAACAACAACAAAACAATTACAAAATTTTTTTGTAAATTATTTGTCTTCTCTTTTAAATCTTCAAATATATATGTGCAAAGTTACGAACCTTAACAAGCATTGGTATTGATTTACCAGCCCATTGAAAATCTTGAAAAAATAAAATCGAGAATGGGGAGTTCCTTAAATATATATATGTAATTCTTATTCTCTTGCTATTTAATCTTAGTATCTCATAACTAATGCACTTTCATATCTAAATATGTTAGGTTCCGGTTGTTGATATTTACTTTCCATTTTACTTTCAATAATGATTGAATATTTTTATTTATTTGTTGTTATCCTTAGGCGTATTAAATATGTGGGTCAACCAAAAATTCCCATGAGTATTTAGAATTATAATATGATGATGGTTTTGTATTGACAAAATGTGTGATGTACATATGCAATAAACAACTACAATTACAAAATCGAAATGTAATCGTCCTTTAATACAATAGTTTATTTAGTTCCGTCATTTTTTTATAGATTTACAAATTACACATTCATTTTGATTGCTCTACATTTCAAATGTTTCGTCATACTTTTTGCTGACATACACATTTCAAAATTTAAATAAATTTCAAAAAACAAAATACACACACAACAACAATAATATTTTGATATTATTCACTTCATCAGCATTTTTAATTTTTTTTCTCGAGTTCAAATTAATTTCACTATTTTTACCACTCACTCTGATTCCTGCTGATGGTTCCTTTTTTTGTCCCAATGTTGCACTCCTTTATTTACAAATCACTGTACTGTTTGTTAAAACAACAGGAACAACAACAACAACACGAACAACAGTTGACTACAAACTTGCTGTGTATGACGACTTGTGTGATTGTCAGTTAGTTAGTTGGTCGGTCGGTAATGCACATTGTCAAGTTGAAAATTGCAACGTGTGTGTTGACAAATT